GCCTTCCCAGACATTTTGGCTAATTTACATATACAAAATATACAAAAGAATGTCCTCACTATTTTCTGCATGTTTTATCTCCTAACTTGTCACGCCTCTTCACAATATACCTATGAGGGTTTATTTGATCTAGTAAAAGTTAAATAGCCCAACCCCCCCTTCGGCAGTTGTGAAGCAAATTATCGCTATGTCTGAAAGTAACTACAAAGTCAGACAAAGGTTTAAATAAGCTTCTTATTTAAGAGCTTAGAACATAGAGGCATGTTCTTATGCTAAAAAAAATCAATTTCAGCTCGTGGTGATGTAATTAAACAAGAAGAGTCTTCCACATTTCCTTTTCATTTTAGAATTTTTGGATTTAATTAACATTTTATGTTATTTTAAATAAACTAAATGCATTTAGAATGTATAGAAAAAGCTGCTAATTCTTTAGTAATATGAACATTCAGAAGAAATATAAAATAATATATAATAAGGTCCAGTTACAGAGTTGATGTGGCATAATTTTTAGAATTTAGTGACACACCGAGCAAAAAAATCTAGAAAGGGCAAAACTTTTAGAATTTAGAACAGGCATTGGAAGCAGAATTTATAAAGGCACCAGGCAGCAGAATTTAAGATCACAGAGACTGCATCAGGTGGGAGAATGCCTAGTGCCTTCCATCCCTGTATATGATGCATTAAGACATATTAGATGAATCTTTTAAATTGTCAGTTTTCAATTCCATTATTAGTAAAAAAATTCCTTTCTATAATGCTTATCTATTTGATATGATTAAAAGCATTTTTGATATTTTCCATGCTTAAGTCTTGCAAAAAGTAGAGAAAATAAAGGGAAGATAAAAATGTTAAGAAAAAGATTCTAGTACCAGGAGTAAAACATTAAACTATACATTTTTCATTGTTCTTCTAGACGTTCTCCAAAAAATAAGAAATTACGTGTTGATATCATGGAGACATTTTTCATTTTGTCACATTTTTCTGGAAACTTTTAGAATTGTGGGTCTATAAATCTTGCCTTCATATCTTTCTAAACTCCAAGCTGCAATGTCTAAAATCCTAAAGAAAAATTACTCCTACCAATGCTGTAAGGTCAATAAAAAAGTGATATCAATTATTCTTGAAAACGGTTTTATGGAACAAAAGTGCTTAATCATGATGAAGATAAGGTGCGAAATTGGGAGAAAATGCAGAATCGCCCACTGCTTGCCGCATTTTTAAGAATTGCACATACACAGTATCATCCATGTACACGTCGACCTATTTTCACTTAAAAAAACATCCTCGAATTGCACAAAAATTGCATTGCACGCACTCTTGACTTTATCCATGTACACTGCTAAAGTTCTAGCTAGTAACCTTTATCGCCTTACCAATATGTCTCCAAACTACCTGTTACCATATTCCAAAGATTAGCCTTTTGTTCATTTCCAGAAGGGATATCTTTTCATGTTAGGCGACTTTTGTTTCGTGTTAAAAGAAACAAAATGCATGAAAATACATAATAGTTTATTGGAACTGTCGTATTATTTTGTGTTAACCGATACTTCGTCTTAAAACGTTTTCGTGTTAAATGTAGTTTCGAAGTGAAGAATCCGGGCATCAACAAAAGCCACCATAGCTGACTTAAAAAGAATAAATGGTGGGGATGTAACTTCACATCTAAACAATAACATTATTTCTCATTTTCCATTTATGCCAGCTTCTTCGTACACTGTTTTATACAAGTACACTAAATTAAAATAAGTTTTTATCTCTTTCTTCTGTTTAATATTGTGTTCTCTCTCTCTCTCTCTTTTTTTTTTACATTTGATATTCTCCATACATTTTGGGTAACGAATCTGTACACAAAGTACTGTTGAGTTAACCTTTTGCGGCCGGGGCTTTGGTAGCAGTAAAAGCTACCAAAGGACGGGAAATCTTGAGCTGAATGCTTTCCCCCCTTTAAGAAATCACCTCCTATTTGCAACAAAGATTCTTGTGTGTAGTTTAACGGATTTTCAGAGGGGTGCATTTATGTCGCAAAAGGAAGACCTTTGAAAGAGATAAGTGGTTAAAACCCCAGGGACGTCAAATTTGACATTTCAGCCTGGAAAATGGGGGAAAAAGACAAGGCCACTAAAGTGGACAACCCCGTCTTTTCAAAGAGAGGACTCTATGGCCACTATAATGGCCATCCCGTCTTCAAAAGGTTGAGTAGACTGAAGGGTGTCCCTTGGATTACCGTTAAGTTGTTTCATTTATGGTAACCTGATTAGTTGAGTGCTATGGAAACCCTATTAGGATGTAATTGGTTGCATGATTGCAGTGAATTTGAATGATGTGATAGATTTTGGTACGTAGTTATTTTGTGGTTTACACCAGCGGTTCTTAAAGTTTTTTCAGTCGCGACCCCTTTTTATCACTGAGATTTTTTTGTGACCCCCAGGACCCCATAAGTATTGCGCAAATACCACACATGCATGAGTGAAACTGTCAATTTTTTCACTTGTTCTGGAATATACCAGGGCTGTGGAAGTCAGTAGGTAAAATGACCAACTCCGACTTCTGGAACTTTAAAGACTCCAACTCCCTCATAAATATATAATGTAAACATATACATATGAGTTACAGCTTATTTTTTTAATATAAAAGAAGTAATAGATGCTACAAGAAAAAATTTGTAGCATAGCAAATTATTTATATTAATTTAGCATTTATTATGAAATCTAAAAACTGGCATTAGTTATTTTTAAGAAACAATATAACTTCTTTTAACATTTCAGGATAGATTTTTATAAGTTCTAAAAGAGGTGTCTTGCAAGCTCAATCATATTTCTCTATTTTCTCATAGGCAGTGTAGAAATCTTGTTTGTATTTTTCATTTTTATATCTAAAGGCTCTTGGTTCTTTATTTTTATTCGCTTTGCCTTAGCCTTTTCAATATTATCCAAAAATAATTCTCAAAATTTAATTCATCACTGGAAGAGGATCATACAGACTTAATTGCAGTGTCTGCAGTTTGACTGTCCTGATTCGAATTCTCCAATTGTCCTGTGAATAATTTCATTCTTAATAAAAGTTCATAGGTGGCTTTCTTTGGCTTTTTAATTGGTTCGTCATCCAAGAAAATTAGATGTTTTAGATCTACATATTGAACCCAGCAAGATCTCATCGTCTAGCAAACTAGTTTCTCTTTTCTTCATTGAAGAAATGATTCCTTCTGCAATAAACCCTCAATTTCAGAAAGAACAAATATCCCATTCTTCCATTCTCGCCTCCTGTCAGTTCTTCAGATTGCAGCCTTTTTTGTGGCTATTTACGGCGTAGAAAGAAGAGTTTCCAATTCTGAAAGATTATTCCACAGTCTTCTTGTTAGTGAAACATTAGAGATATCTACATCTTCTAAAAAAAGTCCTTAATTCTAAAAACCTCTTTATTATCAAATATGTACTTTCTTATCACGTTGCTTGATCAATAATTGCTCCTTTTCCTGCTTTCTTCCTAAGAATGGCATCAATTTTGGGAGTTTTTGCTGCTATCCTAAATTTACCAGTGAGATTTGTAACTAAATGAATCAGTTTAATCACTAATGGCAAATATCACATCCATCCTCCTTCCTTATATTTATTTATTAATATGTCAATAAAATAGAAAATAACTATTTATTAATGTATATAGTCCATAAATAATTAACAATGTCGTCAAACATGTGAAATATTCCCATACAAATAAAAACCTTTTTAATAAATGTATGTAAAATTGGCAATAAATGTAAAATTGTTCACAAACATAACTAACAGAAAATTATAAAAGTTTTTAACTGGTTTAATCCTAGTATCCGGTGCACACGGGGTTTGGTGACTTTATGATGAGCAGTAAAAATGGGACATATACGATGAGTAGTTAACGGGTCATTCAAAGAAAATATATAGTTAAACATAGTATACACTATGTATATTATATTATACTATGTAATATCACACTTAGTATATGTGTATATAGACGTTCTTTGGATCATTTTTGGTGTTGGCGATAATTTTCAAAGTCGCGCCAAGGCTGCACCGTAAACTAGGCTTTTCTTAAGTGGTAGTCATAAGACCGTCTAGGACCGGATTATGATTTCTAGAGACTAAGCATAAGGTGACCAGATTTTAACATTGGTAAAGCGGGACACCATTGACCGGGGAAGGGAGTTCTTGATTAAAAATTTGGTATACATGGAGCAACTAAAATTTCATAGAACGCAAAAATAGTATTGCAATATATTTTTTTTAATTTCAACATAAGTACAATTTACAAATATATATTGTACTTTCAGAAACGCTGTGTGCTTGGTTTAATCCTAGTATCCGGTGCACACGGAATTTGGCTACTTTTGGCGACTTTTATGATGAGCAGTAAAAACGGGACATATACGACGAGTAGTAAACGGGTTTATGATGAGCAGTAAAAACGGGACATATACGACGAGTAGTAAACGGGTTTATGATGAGCAGTAAAAACGGGACATATACGACGAGTAGTAAACGGGTTTATGATGAGCAGTAAAAACGGGACATATACGACGAGTAGTAAACGAGTATTCAAAGAATATATATAGTTATACATAGTATATACTATGTATATAGTGATAGAATATAGTGTATAGTATACTATCACTATATATACATAGAAACGTTCTTTTGGTAATTTTTGGTGTTGGCGATAATATTCAAAATCGCGCCAAGGCTGCACCGTATACTAGGATTTTACCCGAACAAATAACATAGCCAATCTAAAATTACGTTGGTAAGCATTTATTTTATAGCTGTATTGTAAGAGCTGACTAATTAGTGAATAGTAATGATCTAACAATAATTTTTGTGATTATATGCGTATGTATGCACTGTGTACAGCTAATGCGCATCAAAGAGAAATTGCAGTAAATTTTAAGTAATGTAAAAATAAAGCATAACATCCGACAAAGTCCGCTCAAAATTCTAATGCTTAAGTTAAAAAAAAATGAAAAATAGTAATACCTGGTAGTATGATTGGACATCTTTATACACATTAATTAGAAAAGGGCCATCATTTGGTTGTTCGTCATTTCCATTCATATTTATAATGAAACCTTTTTTCAATTACAGCAGAATTTAACGCGTGGTACTGAAAATAAACAGACAACACACGATGATGCTACGGACAGTACATGCTCCCTTGAAACCTCAGCAGCGGAATAACAAGCGTCCAGTAAGTGCACTGAGATTCAATGAATGCATTATAACGCATGCGCATTAGAAATGCTGAATGTCCGACTAGCTGCGCAGAGTAATGTTTTCGAAATCTGATCTTTTCATTGCAATTTAGCGCCAAATACGTATTGACGTTCTTTGCTAGCGCCATCCTACTGTGTATGAGCCACGGAGTATAACCAAAGAACGTCTATGTCAATACATATTCTTTGCTATAACTTTATACTCTGTGGTATAACAAGGAGGTTAGAATAGCCTTCTTGATCCTATTCTAACCTCTTTGGAGCTAACCGTCAGAGGGGTAGACTAACCTTGAAAATATAGATCCAAACTTGAAAATAGATTATCAGTGATTAGGTTCCACTTAAAGCGCATTGATTCCCTCTATATTTCGTCCACAATCTGTTCCCATTGCCCTGACGGTGAGTTGATTTCTATAATATTGAACAACTTGCCAACTATCTGAAAAGCAGACTTCTTACAACCATCTTTCTTACCAACTCCATGGTGCAAAATTTTCCTTTGACAAAAATATTACACAGAACAAAATAACTGAAAGTTTTCAGATTTTATATTACGTCCAAAGATTCTTTTTTAACGTTTTGTGTGTTACCTTTATTGATTAAGTATCATGTTCTTCGCACTTAAATCATAAAGTTTACTTCAACAGAAGTATCAAAAATAATTCAAAAAGCCCATACCTTTAGAATTTCCCAATACACTTTATCGCGCATCTCGGGCCCTCGAGATTAAAATGCTCTTTTTTTTTTTTTTTTTTTTTTTTTTTTTCTGTACAGTGTTGCCATGGCTCGCTTTGAAGTCGTTGAGTTTCTTAATTAAAACTTTGCTCAAATTTTACAAAAATATGAAATAGATAATAAAACGAATTCCAAATTAGGACTTCCAAACTTCCAGATGTCCATATTCGAGTGGAAGATTATGTTATTAATAATAATTACGTTAATACAGTCACACTCATAAAAACTCACAAGACATGCTTTTCTCTGATATCATAAGGTGTCCATTAAATAAAAATACATTGATCTTTTGCTTTAAATGGTTTAGATTTAAAAACTGGGCATCAATGAGAAAGTTTGGCTGCATCTATGACTACTTCATAAGTTTAGCAAAAGAAAGAATTCATTTATATTCTGGATGAAAATAGAATAGACTTGCCCTTATTTCTGGCAGTTAGACATATCTTCACACTTCATTGGTTTATAAAAAAAGGGTTATACATCCTTTTTATTTACATTATTAAATTCTACAATATAATTTTTAATAATTTCATATGATATACATAGCTTCATTATTTATTTCGAATGTGTGGAATTGGATGTCTGCCTTTTTAAAACTTATCAAAAGTAATTTGGAAGTCATTAATATTTTTGGTTTGAAAGTAAATTGCTCTTTTTTCATATCTGCTTCAATGGTATCTTTACAGATCTCCGTTCACCCGTCTACCAAAGTAGCACCGTGGAATTTTTTCTGAATTGTTATTTTCAGTTCTTGGCTGTTCGGTGTCCAGGGTAGTAAATCTGTTTTCTTGTGTTATATCAGATATTGCCTTTTATCCCAGTTTTCATATCGATCAAATAACGCCGTTGAGAGTCATCATGTGAATACTACAAAGATACAAGTAAGTCAAGATGAATCACTGCATGACGAGAACGAAAAACCTGAACTTGTCTCTACGAGCTCAAGCGTTCGAGAAAATAGACTGATTGACTGATGATTATTTTGTCGGAATACCATATAGAAATATCTTTTATCCGGCGCATTTTTGAAATACAAGATGGCGGCTGAAAAATTGCCAAGGGCCGGTTATCTGAAACGTGCCAGAAAGTGCAATCATGTAAAAACTATCTTAAAATTAAAAAAAAAAAAAAAAAAGAAAGAAAGAAAAAGAAAGCTGAGATAATAAACATTGGATTGGCGCTTTTAAATCATTGTTGCCAGATTACAAAATTGACATCAAAAAACAAATAGCATAGCCAAATAGAAAAATTACTCATTTACGCTAAATTCATAGAGGCGATTTTTTGCAACACAATTAAACAAATAATTAATTAATCTTAAAAACATAAAGCAATAGAACTACTATTGGAGCTGTAGCTAACCAAAGAGATCACCCATCAGGCAGGTAACGCGATTTTGCGAAAGGTCCGTACTTTGCTTTCGCCAAGTTTATCATTTGATGTTACTTTTTTGTTACAAATTGTTGCCTCTTCAGCTTTGGCACATTTAAGCGTTCGTACTACAATTTCTTGATGTAAAAATACTCTTTATTTGATGAATGCAATAAGGATAAAGCAGTAGTCAATTCAAAAGGAAAATGATTTAGTGAGTCCTCCTTAAGAATGTAAGAATCTTTAATCACATTCTGTAATAATGTGTAATTATGAACTGAGATTTTATATTTATAATTCGTTAATTATGTTGTTACAATGAGAGAACTCTTGGGTATTTAAGAGTTTATTGCTTCCATATGAAATTTATGTAAATACGTTTAACGCGGAAACGCTTAAAACGAAATATCGGTCAACACGAAGTAATACAACGGTTGCGACAAACTATTGTGTATTTTCATGCATTTTTCCCCTTTCTTAACACGAAATGATTTCCCATCTGCGAATGAACAAAGTACTGAAACACCAGGCGTGCAGGCTACATTTAAGAGGGGGGGGGAATGAAAAAAAGATGGTTTCACATATTTTGTAGAAAGCAGGCTAACTTAGCTTTGAAATAACCTGGGGGGCAGAGTAGACTTTAAGGTACCCATTGTATTATGTCGAAGTTGTTGTTTGATTTATCGCCAAGTTGTTTCATTTATAGTTGATTTATCGCCAAGTTGTTGCCTGAGTAGTTGATTGTTATGGAAACCCTATTGTGACGTAATTGGGTGCATGATTCTGTGAAATTTTGAATGATGGGATGTTTTTGTGGTGTGTGTTGGTTTGATTCTTTAGACCAAGGATGTCAAACTCGCGGCCCGCAGCCCACAACAAATATTTTTGCGGCCCGGCCAATATATCGGCAAAGTAACATATCGACGATGAAAAAAATGAAATGTTTACTGCTAAATTAACGATAATTTATTCAGTGTTGTTAGATTACTCACAGCGAGCTGACACACACACTACTTAAATTACAAATGCGTGTGAGTAACTTGCGTTCAGCTACCTTTGGCTTTTGGGGGACACGTGCACTCAGAACTTGTACGCATTCCCTGATAGCCGAATGTGGACGAACTCATGGTCTCAGTTTTCCAATCATAGTTTTGTACGATATATTGGTGCATGCATGTTCATGCACTTTGCTTTATTATTAATTATTACTTAATTCATATTGTTACTGATTTCATAGTTATTTATTTATTTAGTTTTTTTTTATTTAGAATTGTAATTAGATTTGCTTCATGTTGCCTTAGCAACGCAGACGATTTTTGAAAAGACAGCTGCGTTAGAAGGTTAAAAATAGAACAGCACGCATTTAATACCTAATAAATAAATACCTTGTAATTGCTGTTGCCATTCATAAAAATCCAGATATTTATAGATGTTTCCAGTATATTCGAGAAATTAATTATAAAGCTTATAAAAGCCGAGAACAAACAGCTCATCTCAGTAGTAGCTGTAGTTCTAGCGAACTGTTTGTTTACTTATTGCTGTGATTGATTTGTAGTGATTTCGCTGTGAGATAGAATTAGTTTCTCTGTTTTGAATTGATTTTTGCTAAACGTTTGACATTTTGTGATATTGTTAGAATATTTTTGAAGAAATGTTTCAGCATTTTGATTTATCTCTTGTGGAAAGAATAAATTTTTGTTAACTTTTTAACGTTAACCGTGTTTATTCCAGCCCTTTGTATTCAGTATGTCTATATCAAAACCAAGTGGTAGTAAAATTAAACGAAAAATCGCTGACTAGCATAGAATATTCCAAGTAAAATGGGAATTAGAATATTTTTGCTGTGAAATAAAAGATAAAATAATCTGCTTGATATGTAATAATACTATTAATGTACCAAAGTTATATAATATTAAACGTCATTACGAACAACATAAATCGAAATATAACAATTACGAAGGATTAATGAGAGAAGAAAAGTTGAAAGAGCTCAAGTGAGGAGTGAAAAAGCAACAGTCCATGTTTATTAAAGTATTGCAAGAAAGTGAAGCGGCGGTACATGCAAGCTACGTCTTGTCCAAGTTGATAGCTAAACATTCGAAGCCTTTTACTGACGGTGATTTCATCAAGGAATGCCTAATGAAAGCTGAAGAAATTGTTTGTCCTGGAAATGTGAAGGCTTTCCAGTCAATTTCATTGTCTCGAAATACAGTTGCGGAAAGAGTTACTGATTTAGCCGCGAATTTAAGTGATCAGATCAAAGCAAAATCATCTAGTTTCAAAAGTTTCTTAATTGCCTGTGACGAGAGCACGGACATTAGTGGCAAAGCTCAATTAGCAGTGTTTCTTCTTGTGACAAGAATTTTAACATTTTTGAGGAATTACTGGAACTAATACCGATGCCTGGTACTACCACAGGAGAAGATATATTTACTTGTGTTTTTGGACTTCTGCAGAAATACAATCTACCTTTGGCAAAATTAAATTCTGTAGCTACAGATGGCGCTCCATCAATGACCGGGAAAAACAAGGGCTTCGTATCATTACTAAGGGAAAAACTTAGTGAAATTCACGGTTCAAACATTCATCATATGCATTGTATTATACATCAAGAAGTTCTATGCACGAAAGTAATAAATATGGAGAATGTTTTGTCATATATAAAAAATGTTATAAATTTTATAAGATCTCGAGGTTTAAATCAACGTCAATTCACTGCTTTCTTAAGTGAGTTAGATAGTGAGTATTCGGGTTTGTCCTACTATACCGAGGTACGTTGGTTATCTTGCTCCAAGATTCTCAAACAATTCTTGGATTTGAAAGAAGAAATATGTCAGTTTTTAAAAACAAGAAATCAAGACGTAAGTTTGTTTTACGATCCAATATGGATACAAGATTTATCTTTCTTGGTTGATATAACCAAACACTTAACCGATTTAAATTTATCGTTACAAGGAAAAGATCATATCATTACGAACATGCTTGACATAATTAAAGCATTCAAATGTCAACTAGTTCTTTGGGAAAAACAACTTAAAAATGAAGATTTGACGCACTTCCAGACGTGCAGCATGAGCAAATCAAGTTTAGATGATACTTTTTCGTATAAAAAATACGCAGAAAAAATTGCAAATTTAACAACTGAATTTGAAACGAGGTTTAATGATTTTAGTTCCCTCGAAGACAAATTTTTTTTGTTTTCTTCGTTTTTCTCAATAAGTATTGACTCAGTACCCAGCCATATGCAAATGGAGGTGATCGAGCTTCAATGCAACTCAAATTTGAAAGCAAAATTCATTGAAGTGGGCGTGCCTGAATTTTACAAATATTTACCAGCCAGGTTTGAAAATACTCGAAAATTCGCATATGAAATTATTTCCATGTTTGGTAGCACTTATCGGGGAGCAGTTATTTTCAGTCATGAAAGGTAATAAGTCTCCTATTAGAAACCGTATTTAATGATGCTCACCTTGGGTCAGCGTTGAAAGTTATCACTGCAAACAAAATTTCTCCCAAAATAGGAAAGATAATAGCAGAGAAGAGATGTCAAGTATCAGGACGTAAACATTAAATTTTTCTTGTTCTTTTCTATATAAATATATATATATATGTTTATTATTGTATTATTCGAAATAAATCTACGTTTCTATGAATATTATTATTATTATTTTTTTTTTTTTGGCGGCCTGCATAAAGTTAAACCTTGTTTGTTTGGCCCAAGTGTACCTTTGAGTTTGACATCCTGCTTTAGACGGTAGAATGGCCGAATGTAGTAAGATTAATTTGAAGTTTCTGTGAGATTTGGAGCGAAAGGGGAAAAGAGCTTTAATTGACTGGTGTGTAAATGAAGGTTTACTTAGTAGCCATTATAGGTGTTCTGTATGTAGGAAGGATATGCGTCTAGTCGAACGTAAAAACCGTTTAGATGGATTTGTAGGAAGAAAGGTTCAGATGGTCACTATGTGAAACGTTCGATCAGAAAGAGTACCTGGTTTGAAAAAAGTCATTTGATTATGATTGATATTTTGATTTTTACGTGGCTCTGGGTGTAAGAAGCGAACTCGAAAATCATGGTAAGTGAATATTTGTTTTTGGTAGTGCTTAAATGTAAAACATGTTTTTCCTTTTTATGTTATTTTATTGTTTGGTTTAAAATTTATTTTATGAAGACTATGTATTTTTTGTTTGCCTATATTTTAGAATTTGGTGCTCCTTTGACTTTTTAAGTGAAAATATATCGACATGTACTTGGTCAAAGTAAAGGAAATGCGCAATGCAAGTTTGTGCAATTTTTGGATTTTTTTTAAAGTGAAAATAGGTTGACGTGTGCATGGATAAAGTCAAAGGAGTGCGCAATGGCATTTTTGTGCAATTCAGGGATTTTTCTGTCTTCAACATACTGTTTAAAAAAAACAGTAAGACAATGGTAAAGCTTTCAAATTTTATCCTTAGAAGATGTTACTTTCATTTTAATTTACAGTTATTTGATTAAATTAAATTTTATAGCAGAAAATTGTTTTACTGACATGTGTTATGATTTCTAATTGTTATTTAAAGAGAAATTAATCAACAAGCTTAGCATGTATGGCAAATGGTTACATTCTGACCTTTTAGTTGGTTTTGTTGTCATGTCCATATTATAGGGAACAATGGTTGCCAGAGCCTACTCCGAAGAGAAGTTGGACTTCTATTTTTTACCCCCAATTTTGAGGGAGAGCACACGGGGGGGATCCAGGGGTCTCCCACCCCTCTCCACTCCCACCAATCCACATGAGAGGATTTTCGGCTCGCCACATATTTAGAGTGCCACACTGACACTATACATTTAAAAACATCCATGTCATCTCCGGGATTCGAACCCGGGCCCTTTGGTACTGTAGTAGGTTACCCTAACCACCATACCGTCTGGGCGATTTTACCTTTTAGTTCAATCTCACATTTGATATTTCAGCATTAGGCACAGAAATTGCAATCAGGATTAATGAATAGTTAAAGCTTTAAAGACACTGAAAACAGTTTAAAAAAAAAAAAAAAAAGATTTCTAAAACTAAACTTTGGAAGATTGAGTCGAAATAATTTACACAAAAAGGAAATTAATTATACAGTCAAAAGTCGTTAATCCTGACTCGTCGGGACTTCGGCGATTCCGGATTATCGATTTTTCCGGATTATAGATCATCAGTTTAAATCTCGTAAGATGGCATGCAGAAATTCTAAAATTAAAAATATGAAA